TGAAGTAACTTGGGAAACGGAAGATTCAATGAGGACACAATATCTAAATCTCTTCAACTAATGACTTAGGTAATTTTGAGGACGAAATTAAATTAAGGGGGAGAGAAATGTAACGCCCCTAAAATAGGCCTATAAGCATTTATTAATTAATAATTAATTAATTACTGAGAAAGACTCAAAAATAAGTGATTTATAAAGTTTGTCAATAAATAATGAAAGTTATATCGTTGTGTAGAGTTTGACTGTCTGCTCGCAACGGTTCAATAGAATTTTAGATCAGAGAAAGTTGAACAAAAAAGTGTACCCCAAATGGGACCAAATTAGTCCTAATCAGGGAAATTGTGCAGATGGCGCCTCCCAATGCACTAGCCGATCGTAGAATCACGGAGGAGTCAGCATTCTGTGTCTTCTTCTTGTTCACCTCATTATATAAGAACACCCTTTACACTCAAACCTTCACCATTCTTCTTCAATCTTCTTTCTAAGTGTTCCTTGCTATGAGAGAAGTGCACTGGTGCTATCAATTTGGTGAGAGATCACAGAGTTAGGAGTTATCGTTGCTAAAAATTTCGTCGGAAAATTCTCAAAACCTCCATTTCCACTCGAGATAAGCCCTTAGATATATCTAGTGATTAGAATGTTTGTATAGATCGTTTTTACGTTCATAAACGGTCGTTTGGTTGGGTTTGTGTTTGACATGTTTGAAGAACCAAGAATCATAAACTCTAAAATTATTGTTAAAACTACGAACTAATGATACTGAAATGATCTATGAACCTTGGAAAACATTTCTATATAGTTTAATTGAAGTTTGATGACTACAAATGGTACATTCAAAAATGGACTCGAGGAAGAAGGTGATGAACAGTAACTTTCTACATTTTACAAAAATATGTCGAGATGGTGATCGATCACCAGCCCTGGATTGATCCTCCGAGATGGTTGATCCGAATATTTTTCTGAAAATGCTATTTTTGAGCGGTAAAATCCTATTTTTGATACCAATCAATTATGATCAATATAAATATGATTTTTTTAAATAAAAATGACGAATAAAAACCTTATGTGATGTATGACGGTAAGCTAGGGTGTTAACACTCGATGCTAGACCGCTAATTGTTATTGGATATAATGATGATTTTTATTGATTGATGATTATGATGAATATTATTGGTTAATGATTATGATGATCAAGCTTTAATGAATATTCTGATTAAAGTAATGATTGGGAATTATTAAATCATGACTAAAATTGGATATATTGGTGATCATGAAAATGATGTGTATCGTTAAGGATATCTAGAAAAACTCTAAGATATACCCATTTAGATATTTGATGTTAAAGATATCTAGAAGAAATATAAGATATACCTGTGTGATGAATTCAAAAATATGGGGTTAAAACGTCCGTACGGGTTCCAAACCAAACTCGAAGATCACTCGTTTGGGGACATCACCCACCCAACAATTCACTGTTCGGTTAATTGGTACGTGATCCATAAGACTCATAGGATGGATCATCGATTCTTGTGTTCTGCCTTAGACTATTTATAGTATAATAGCCCGGTTAGAAATATTGCCTTAGACTAAGAATAGTTTAAGAGCTTGTTATCAAAATGATTTGGCCTTAGATTAAGAATAATTTAAGAGCATTGTTGAAATACTGAATATTAAATTTTGTATATATCATGAAATGACTTGAATTAAAATATTGTGAATATCATGAATGATGAATGCTTTAATATAATTGAATATTATATTATGTGCATGATATCAAATGATTTGATTATGAATTGAGATTCAGTTTATATGCATGTTCGACGCATTAGATATCATTACCCAGCTTTACCACTGAGCGTGTAGTATGCTTTATTTGCTACACGCAGGTAAACAAAAAAAATGAAGTGATGAATTCCTCGAGGCAGAGTGGGTGTGTATCGCCCCAAAACATACCCTAGAATTATTAATGGATAATTATTCAATTAATCAAATTTTTTTTGTTTAAAATAATTTATTGTTGGGCTTTGGACCAAAATAATATGTGTTTGATATCAAATATTACAATTCGGATAAGTCTCATAGAAATAAATCCAATATGTTGACTAATTGTATAATTTTGGTTGGGAACCTGCGTACAGACCCAAATCAATAATAATTGAAGAAATTATTTATGATGTGAACTTTGAAATGATTTATTGAAATAAATCATGAATAAACAATATGAATTAAATGTGAGAACCCTTTTGTGAGTAAAGGTCAAACAAACCAATTTTGACTCTGTCAAAGTCAAACACCCAAAAATAGGATGTCAGAAAAAGTATTATAAATAAATATAAAAATTATATCGTTGGATAGAGTTCGACTGTCTGATTGCAATGGTGCAAACAAAATTCAATTCGAAGAAAGTTGGACAAAAAATGTACCCCGACTCGAACTAAAATTAGTCCCAATCAGGGACTACACACCAAACAGCGCCCAGTGCAATCACCGCCTATTCCAAAAACGCAGAAGCAATCAGGAAACCCACTACTCAGCTACTCCCTTGGCTTCTTATCTTTTCCTTCACTATATAAGAAGGCCCTCCAAGCTCCATTCTTCACCATTCTTCTCTATTTTTCTTCCTAAGTGTTCCTGAGAGTGTGAGGAGTGTTGTGGTGCTGCCAAATTGGTGTGACGTCGCCAGAGCAGAGAGTATCCTCGCCGGAAGTTTTGCCGAAAAAATCTCAAAACCTTCAATAAGCTTCGAATTAAGCACGTAGATATATCTAATTACTAGAATGTTCATATAGGTTGTTTCTACGTTCATAAATGGTCATTTGGTTGAGTTTTGTGTTTGACATGTTTGAAGAACTAAGAATCGTAAACCTTGAATTTGATGTTAAAAATATGATTTAATGATTGTAAAATGATCTGTGAATCTTGGAGAACATTTCTATATAGTTTAATTGAAGTTTAGTACCTAAAAATGGTATTCTTGAAAAATGGACCGAAGGTTGAAGAAGATGGACAGTGACCTGAAACCGCACTGCCTGGATCGATCATATGCTTTGGATCGATCCACTTGGAGTGTTTCTTCTAGTTTGAATCGATCAAGAAGGCTAGATCAATCCCCCAAAATTCTGATCCGAAAATTTGTCTGAAAATGCTATTTTTGAGCTCTAAAATCCTATTTTTAAAACCAATTGATTATGATCATTATAAAAATGATTTTTCATAATAAAAATGATGTTTTTAAAAAATTAAAACATTATGTGATGCATGCTGGAAAGTTCGGGTATTAACACTCGAAACTAGGCCGCTATTTGTTATTATACGTTATGTTGAATGATCATTATGATGAATAATTATTATGGATAATTATGAATGATAAACCTACTGATCACCCACCCGACAAATCACTGTTCGGTTAGTACATAATCCACATGACTCATAGGGTGGATTATCAATTCTTGTGTTCTGCCTTAGACTATTTCTAAATAGAAATATTGCATTAGAATACGAATAGCTAAGAGCTTGTTATAAATTTATTTGGCCTTAGATTAAGAATAATTTAAGAGCACTGTTGAGATATTGATTATTTGGCCTTATATATATATATATATATATATATATATATATATATATATATATATATATATATATATATATATATATATATAGGGTTGGGTTCTAATAAGAATATGTCTCAATGAAAGAAATAAGAATGGATTAGGAGCCTAGGATTAATCCAATCGTGTGGCTGAGAAACAACCTTTAAATCAGAAAGTGTAATTATTATTAAACACTCCTTTTGACAGTAGAATCGTGGAGGGGCATATTTGGGAGATTTGATTTTATTGAAATGCGTAGATGTTGGAGAATCCCGCCTAATAAGCCGCAGTCTCAGAATAGGACTCTTCGCTTCTCAATAAACCTCCCTGGTTGCGCTGCCTTTCTTCCGCTAGTTGTGCAGCGATTTATCAGTCTCAAGGTGTTATTGGAGCATTTGGGTCGGACTTCCGCCCGTTTCGTACCGCGGAAAGAAGATTGCAGAGATGGAGGCTGAAGGAGTATCTGGTATGTTCCAATTTTTGGGTGTTTTTTGGGCGGCTTGGGTTTTGGTTTTTTTTTGCATGTGTGTAAGGATGCATTCTTTACACATGATAGTTGTTGATTGAGGAAAAAATTGTGTCTTACTGCACAATTTGGCTACTGGTAGGGGTTTTGGGTTTTGGTTGTGGTTTGGGTTTTTTTTGCATGTGTTTTGTCTTACTTCGAGGATTTGTGTTTTTATATATTCTCTAAATCTGGGACAAAATGATTTTTTTTTAAGTTGTATGTGGGTTTTTTCTTCATTATAAGTATATGGATGATGGATGTTTATTTATGTTCTGATGATTTTAAGTGGTGCAGTGTCGTGTGTTTGCATCATGTTGATGATGATGTGCAGTTTGGGTTGATTTAAAAATTTAGGATGTGCTGAATCTGAGCAATGTGAATTGGTATTTTGAATTTAGTGTTTTCTGTGTTTTGTGAATATATTAAATCAGTTGGAAACATGGATATGGGGTTTTCCAGGTTTTGTTTGACTTTTTAGTGTAGGTAATAGATAGTGTTGTTATTTGTTAAAAGATTCATTGGCGTAGTGTGATTGCGTTTCGTGTATTGCATGTGGGCATCTGGTTTTTTGATGTTGTGATGCTGTATTGGTGAATGAATTATGCACACTGTGATATTATTCTTAACAGTTTTAAGTTGTGTGCAAACTGATCCTCATTTGTTTGTTTAGAATATGTTATAGTGCATTTTTGTGTTCTGATTGAGTGCTTGTGTCTGCCTAATGTGTCCTTATCATATTTGCACTAAATTATTGTAATTGTGCAACATGTTTGGCGTTTTTTTAGTAGATTATATTGTTGTGGTGCAATAGACATTCTGCTGGGTTTTTATATGAGCATTGAAGTGTTGAATAAATTTGCTGTAAGTATAGAAAGAATATAGGTTTTCGTAAAGTATCCTGCTTATGAGATATACATTGGATGCCTATGGTGATTGTTTATAAGTTATGGTGTTTATTACGTTTTGGTATGTGTGTATTGGTGAAGCTATATTGCATTGAGTGGTTTAAGTAGTATGGATATGCCAATGTATGACATGGTTTGGCTTATTTTGTAGTGTTCGTTCTGTTAATGCATGGGTTTCCCCATGGTGAAGAGCTATTGCTTAGTGATCCTTTTGTTACTAATACTGTGCATTGCATTCATAAGAGTTATATTTTTAGATTGCATTTTATAGATTTATGTGATTCAAATGGGATGAATAAGAGTCATGATTTGGTCTTGAGCAATGAGCTACTGTGAGTGTGGAAAACGTTTTAATGTGGCTTCAGGTTAACTTTTTTTGGGTGCATGGTAAGCAGTGATGTGAGTTTTGGGATATGGTATTGAAAGAATTTATCATTTTGACATTGGTGCGGTGGAGTTCAATTGTGTTCAGCTGGAGTGAGAAATTCTGTTTGTGGTCTGATGCATATAATGTAGTAGTTGGTGTTTGCTTAGCTTTGCACAACGCATGCTTTAATATTAGCATAGATGAGTGCTTACTGTGCATCTAGCTTCGTTAAAAATGTGATACTGTATCAATGTGTTGGTTATTAATCTGCATTATGTTTGGTATTTTTTTTGGTATATAGAAATGTTGTGTATTTAAATTTTGTGCATTTTATACTATTACATATGGGTTTGATTCTTTAAAGTGTAAAATGGTTTGGATATTCGAGTTTTGTGTTGTTTGGTGTGGTTTTTTTTGTTTGGGTGTCGACACAATCACCACGTTGGTCTTGTTATTTTTTATGATGTGATTAGTCATTGTATCCTTGCTTACGAGTATTTGTTATTGGTTTTTTTTGGTGGGGGCTGCAGATCTTGCCTTCAAAAAAAGTGCCAAGCGCAGCAAGAAAACAGTTGTAATGGCTTCACCGATACGAAGAAGCGGTAGATTGCAGCTTGCAGAGATTAAGAAAAGGCCAAAAGTACACGCAGAGCATGTCGACTTGGGTGAGGATGACAAAGATTCTGTGGAAGATGGTGGTGCAAATGGGAATGAGAATGCTGGTTCAGATGTGTCTGGAGATGATGAAGTGAGTGGGGGAGATGATGATGGGAGTGCAGATAAGGAGACTGACAGTGATGATGCATTTGAAGACCCACCACGGAAGACGTCAACTGACCCATCACCGAGCACTTCGAGGAAGAATGCAGGAACAGAAAAGAAACGAAAGAGGCAGGGGATTACAAAATTGAAGGAAAAGTACCCACGAATTCAGTCGAGAGCTTCTCCCAGCGTTTTGCAAAAAGTGGTTGAAGCTTTGAACGATGTTCAGAGGCGGGATGTTGTTAGGATTGGGTTTGGGTCTATATTAAGGATCAAGTTAACTGAACTTCCTGCGAAACTAGGATTTTGGGTGGTAGATAAATTCAATCCTAGGAGTAGCAGTCTTGAACTTGCAGATGGAACAAAGGTGCGTGTGACGGTCAATGATATTAGACATGTTTTGGGTTTGCCATGTGGGCGGTTGAAGGTATTAAGCAAAAAAAAAAGGTGAGAAGTGTGATATACTGGAGCAGTTGAGGGTTGAGATCGGAATGAGGGACAACAGGATCAGCCCTTTAGAGCTTAGTGAAAAGGTACTGCAATATACTGATGGTGGTGTATGGTTTTGTCGTCTTTTCGTGTTGTTAGTTGTGTCTGTTTTGGTTGAAATCCCAAGCCATGGATATGTAAACAATTGGGTTTTGAAAAGCTTGGAGGATGTGGATGGGATTGCACAGTTAAACTGGTGTGAGTATGTGCACCGATCTTTGATTGATAGTAGAGTGAAGTGGGAGAAGGGGAATAGGAAATACTATACTGGACCACTATTGTGCTTGATGGTAAGAGTTTTGTTTTCTGACAACTCTTATTTACTTCATTATAATGTAGTTTTTTTTAATGTAGTCTTTGTTATCTTTTTTTTAAGGTGTTCTACGTTGACCGAGTGGTGCTCTATAGTAGAGACGTAGAGAGAATGTCGCCTGCATTTCTGGGATGGACATCTAAGATCCTAAGGGATAGGGAAAATAACGAGGTCAAAGCAGGTGGATTCGGGTTGGGGTATGACGATGGTAGATTTCTGGGTGAGGTGATGGATGTGAGCTCTGGTGACGCAGTTGTTGGTGCATGTTTAGAACAGGTTAATGTCAAAACTGGTAATGGTGACACGGCAGAACCAATGGGAGAGGCGAGGGATGATCCGGTAGAGGTACGTGCGGGGGGGATTAGTTGGCAAACAAATGAATTTTATGTTTTTTGGGTTGTTGAAATTTAATTCTTTTTATTTTATGACACCCTTATGCATCAGGTTTTTGTTCAAAAGTTTGCAGAAAAGGGGAAAGTACTGGCTACCACAATCATCGACCTAGTGTCGTTGATTGAGAGTGCACCACCTGGTACTATGGAGAATGATGTGTTCAAGCAGCTACAGCATGCAGCGGGTAGATTGTTAGGTCTGGCACAACGTAGAGGCGGTGTAAGCTTAGAAACACCTGATGGAGGTTTTTCAGAAGTAACTTATGATGAAGGTTTCTGGAGCAACGCTGCAAACATAGAACAGTTGATGGCGACTGAAGAGGCAGTGCTGGCACGTTCAAAATACAAGAAGATCATGGAGGATATGCCATCTTTCAGTCTGGGGTTCTCGCAAATGGATGGTGTGAATGAGAATGTGAATATTGATGGTGGTGATATCGGTGCTTTCAGAAATACTCCTAGCACTCCAGCAGTTCGGGTAGTGAATGAGCCGGAGAGTAACCCTGTGGTTGAAAATGTTTTCATAACACCTGAAGAAGTGCATTATCGTGTGGGAGATGTAATTTTTATTATTGCTGTAGAGTGATCCTTGGTGTTGTGTTGCATGTTGTTTTGGTGTTCCTAAACAATTCGTAATGGTTTTGTTTTGTTTTTTGTTTGATGATGCAGGCAGTTGATAGGGATTTGGCAGGTGAAAGTAGAAATCAGCCGGATAGGCTTGGAATGGCAGCGGTAAGACCGTTATTTTTAGTGGTGTTGGTGATTTGTGTGTTGCGTTATGTTTCGTGGTGAAAACACCAATGGTTGATATATGCGTAGGTTGCTGGTGTGAGTGCAGTGGGTGATGTAACTGTGCCAGGAACTGATCCAGTATGTTCAAAAGCAGTGGTACGAATGTTTTTTGGGAGATGCCAAAAGTTAATTCGTGCATGGTAATTGGTGTTTGGGCTGGATTTTTTTTTCACAAAATGAGAAATATTATTGATTTGTAGGAGGTGAAGCAATACAATGCAGCAAGGAAGCTGGCTAGGAGTATAAAACTTGCCGGGCCTTTGAGATCACCCTACATTACGCGACCGGTTGGACCTTCAGATGGGTTATCTGCCCTGGAGAAGAGGGTGACGAATTGGGTGTTGCAGAATCCAAATGCTCCAAAGTATGTTTTTGTTTTCAAGTCTGCAAATTTGTTTGAACATTATTGAATATGTATGGTTTAAAATTTGAATTTTAGGTCTTTAATAATCACATATTATGCTGTTTAGGGATGAAGCTGTTTTCGTGAAGGATGGATTTGAGTTAACAAGAGGTGAAATTGCGTCGTTGGACATAGGGAAGCATATTTCAAAGAGGGTGATAGATGTGTGGTCAATAATACTCAACCACAATGAGAAATTCAGAAGTGAGGAATCCCCGTTACGTGTGTTTGCTAGAAGCATGGATTGTGTAAGCTGTTATTTTTTCTGTGTGCGTACTTAAGTTAGATAGGTGTTTCCCATGATGCTTGAGCTGACATGTTTTGAAAACAATAGGTAGCAAATGGGGATATAGTCGATGTGTCTGAGGCAAACGTGAAGAACATGTTTGCAAATGCGCTGCTTCCTGCATGGGATGAAATGGCAGATGATTTCAACTGGGGGAAAGCTGAACTGGTAAGAATGTTTATAGTAGATGAAATGTGAAGATTGAAATCGGTTGTAACGTTCTGCGTGGTTTATTGGTTGTTCATTGTGTTTGAGTGAATTTGTTAATGTGTCATTTTTTGGATTATGTGCAGTTTTTCTTTCCAATTATGCAACAGAACTGGGCATATGTGTTGTGTGTTGACCTAAAGAGCAGACGCTGTGACATCTTGGATAGCTCTTCAGCGAAAGCAAAAACCGAAGACAGATATGGTGACATGCCAAAACGAGTTGTAAGAACTTTGGGTGCATGGTTTTAATATAAGGTATATTAATGTGGATGAATTATTAACATGAAATGTTGCAACCAGGTGAGGTTGTTGGGTGATTTTCTTGAGCAGCAGAGGTTTGTTTACAAAGGTAAATGTGTTAGAGAAATGGTTGCTAAGAGAATTACGTTCCCTTGGAGAGATCCGAAGGCTACGTTTGACTACGGTGTGGCAACTATGCGTCATATGGAGACGTATATGGGGGATGGTGGCAAAGGATGGAACTGTGGCTTGTCAAGGTTAAATCTGAAACCTCTGATGGCGCTGCGATGCAAATACTGTGCATGTATACTTCTAAGCCCAGTTAATGCACTGTTGGACAAGGTTTAAGAAGAGTCGGAGAAACTCGAAAGGGAGAGGAAGGAAAAGGGTCCTAAGTGAACCCACCCCTGGAATGGCTGCACCTTACCTTTGTGTTTTTCTTTCACTATTTTAATTTGTTTTTGGTCACATTTGGTGACATAGTTCATTGGTGGAATTGTTTTTTGGGAACAAGTAATCAGCCCATAGTTGGGTATTTCTGATTTTCTTGAGGCAGTGGTTTTTTTGGAATATGGTGTGAATGGTTATGGTTTTTTAAATGAAGGTGTGGTGTTGCCAAAATTGGGAATTCGTGGCTTGATTTATGTGGTGTGTAGCGTGATGATGAATTGCCTTTTTTTTAGAAGGTGTTTGTCATTACGTATTTTAGGAGTGTTGTAAGTGGTTAGTTTGCGTGATTATTAAACAAGTTTTCTGTTTTGAGATTTGTAAGCATAACGATTGATGAAGTGATTGAAATTGTAGTTGTTCGTAACAGAGGTTGCCGCATTGTGATATGAACGTAGAGAACATAAGTACCAATGTATGCATAACTAAATGACTTTAATACTGTTATAATAAAGCATTTGTATAGTGAAGGACACTAGGGGTTTATTAACACCATATTTGGCTCAAGGATTCTTGGTTGGAAAAGGAAATAGTAGGAAAAATGATTGTGTCTTGTTCGGTTAGATAGTAAAATTTGCAAGAAAAGAATGTGACAAGGCAAATATATATTTATGGAAATGAAATCAAACTCATCCCATTTTGCAGAGGAAAAGGGAATAAAACCATTTTTTTCTTTTCCATCAAAAATCCTTAAACCCAAATAAGATTAAATGATGCATTCGAGTGGTTTGCTTGTGCATTTCTGGGTTTCTGCGCCGCATCTTTTATAATGACATGACATGATGTACATTATATGCGTTAACATTTATATACGTTCTGCGAACGGGGAGAACACGTTTCAGTAAACAGAACCCCACTATGTATGGTTTTAAAACCTCAGTGAAAACAAATCCATACATGAGGTAATGTTAAAATATGCATCATAGCCACTTCAATATATGCAGATATTGGTATGAAATAAATCTTTAAGGTGGAATGCACAACTCTTATATGAAAATCCAGTTAAAGACTGGTCTGTTCTGTGCCAACTGATGGTTATGCAGTATAAAAAAAATAAAATGCAACAGGGGTAAAAGTAGGTGGTAGATTAAGAAAATGAGCATGTTATAAACCAACGGTCTGGTTGGAAATGAGACATTCAACCATTGGAATTGATTATAAGTATTCAGGATTACAAAAGATTGGAAAAAAACAGAGACTTATAAATGGAATAAAAATAACTGAACCATTAATAAACAATAAAAATGGAACCGGAAAACAGACTTATCACTTCTCATGGTTCATAGGACAGTTCCTGCTGTCGTGGAAGCCATATTCTTTGCATGTCCGACACAAGCGTTTGGTTTTCTTTGATTCTTCAATGCTAACTTCCTTCCCTCCTTTAATACGCTTACCGCTGCCCTTCGTACAGACTTGCGCAGGGGGTAATACACGAAGTTCGGAAGGTGCAGAAGTGCCACAAAAGTTTTCAAACACCGAGGATGTGTCAGATGATAGTTTGCCATCTTGAAGTTTGTCGATTAGCGCCTCCTTGTGCTGATTTATAGTGTTGGAAAATGCTAGCAACAAATCAGGGTTGTGTTCCACCAACGCAATACAAAAGTGGATGTCTGACATCAATCGAGAAACAAGAGTCTTATTTTGATCCGTAAATGATACCTTGTCCATTTCTGAGCCACCGACATCGAACATTGGTTTGAGCAAATGGAATTTGCACCAGCGGTTGGTAACATACAAGTCGGGGATCTTTTCTATTTTCAGATTTTTGAAAACAACAAATATGTGCCTGCATAGCAAGCCAATGCGTTCGTAGTTTTTGCAACTGCAGTGCGTGGTCCCATTGCGTTGACAGTAGCGGACAGTTGAAATCATCCCACTTACATCGCTGATCTGATACTCGGAAGCATCCTCACTGTTTTGGATACCTACAATAGCGCATGAAAAGCAGGATGCACAAATCTCTTTTTGCACATCATAAAAGACAGAGAGAGTGAATAACGATGCAGCATGTTTCTCAATCTTTAATGGGGTTTTGAACACTGGAATTCCCGACTCGGATTCTGAGTTCAAACGAGTAAATTTGAACCGCTGGTCCTCCATTGCACTCTCGAATTGCATTAATAATTCAACTAGGCTAAAGTTGCGGTTGGTGAAATCATCAAAGAAACTGTTTTCACTCTCTGATCTAGACGTAGTGCGCAAAAGCCCGGCCATAAATAGATCCCTGAAATAAGCTGGAATCCAAAACTTACGTAACGTGTATAGTGACTTGAACCACAAATGCTCCGTGAGGTTGTAGTCTGCCATAACACTGCGCCATTGTGCTTTCCATTCTTTTTTGTCCAAGTAATGAGTCCAGACCACCTGATTAATGCGAGTCATGGATTCCGTATCCTTGCTTAACACTGGACCAACTTTCCCTGATAGTTTGTTCATAATATGCCACATGCAATACCGATGCTTGGTTTGCGGTAAGACTTCTTCAATTGCAATTCGCATTGAAGGATCTTGATCAGTTATGATGCAGCTTGGAGCATTCCCCATCGCGTTCATGAATGATCTCAACAACCATGAATATGACTCAGCGTCCTCGCTTGACAGCAAGCCAAAGCCGAATGTCACACACTTTTTATGGTTGTCGACACCAGTGAACGGAGCGAATATCATCATGTACCTACAAAAAGTGACAAGGAAATGGATAGTGCTATGAATCAACAGAGAGTTGCATGCTATATTGGGATGATGTGAGATGTGAAAAGTGGAAATTAATAAATGTGTGACCTGTTGGTTGTATATGTGGCATCAAAGGAGACCACATCACCAAACAGGGAGTAGCTTTTCCTGGCTGCAGCGTCACACCAAAATAGCCTGGAAAGCTGGTCGTACTCGTCAACTTCATAATCAAACCTAAATCCAGGGCATACTTCTGATTTTCGGAATAATTTATCAATGACCATTTGAGCATCTCCACCAGCAATATAGGCCTTCAAATCGCGTTTGAAGTTTTTGAAGTCCACAGCAGTAGCACCAACACTTGAATATCCACCAACGGACTCCTTGAAAAGTCGGTATGATTTCATGGTGCCAATGTTTGCCTTAGCACAGTTGAGTATGAACTTCTTATGGCCTAGATCAATGTTCCTGTTGATCTTCAAAAATGGCCTGTAAGGGAGAGAAGTGAGAGGATGATTGTGCTGTTCTTCGAATATGCTGAGAACGTAACCATCATGTCCAAGGATGCGAAATGCAACACGTGCCATACAGCCTATGCGCTTAGAAACGCGTCTTCTTCTCCCAGGTTTAGATAATGCAGCCTGTCCATTGTCATGTGATGCATCATTGTGGGAGATTGTGGGGACATGTTTTTTACCCTCACGGCTACATACAACGTATTGCCAAACAACAGAGCCCTTTTTCTTTGTAGTGGTAGTCTTACGCACATCAAACCCCGCCTCAGCAGCATAAGCACGATAGAAACGAATAGCATCATCCAAGTCCTTAAAAACCATGCCGACCTTTGGAATGTAGTTATCAGGACATTGCGGGACCCAATGACGTTCAACGTAAGAGCTGCTGCCTTCATTTGGCACTTCCTGATACTTTGTGGGGGTAGCTGTATGAATACAAGTGAATAATTCAGCACTATTTTAATAATACAACCACAACGTGAAGGCATGATATTGAAATAACATACGTAGTAGGAGCATATTTTGTGCATTTGATTTGGGGTATAAGAATGGATAAAAGTGCACTGTGTAGGTTGTATATTGCATTTTCAAGTCAAGCGAATTTACCAAAATTTGAGGATGACACCTAAATATTTCATTTTAGGAATGTATTAAAATCTCAGCATAGAAGTGGAGTACTAAACTAGTATAATTTAAAAACGGTTTCAAGATATTAGTGCACGAAGCATGACCTCAACGGGTCATTCATGTGTGGAAGGCGACTTACACTCGAGTGGATCAATATAACAGTGAGTGGCACATAACTGTTTTAATATGAAGCAATGAATTAACAGCTTTAGTAGTGAGACCTGGGAAAGTAATGGCTAAACAATTGGTGTGAATTGCTTCTTTTTTCTGGGACGTGTGAACTATGATGATTATAGTGCATAAATTTGGAGGGAAAATGCATTACTGTGTTCATTGTATGCATTAATTGGTGAAATGCGACGATCAGAATTAGGATTAGTGCAGAGTTCTTGATCCCAGAGATTCGAAATTCACACAATTACAGAATTTTCGATCACACAAATTCTAAATTTTTCCAAAAAAAAAAAGAGATGATCTGCCCGAATGATACCAAAAATTACAAAATTGCAGGGTTGAATTAAAAGGTTACCTGGTTGTGAGTGAAAATCCATCGCGTAATCCTTGTCTCCGTGAAATTCCATAGGTTAAACAAAGGGGGCACGCCGGTAGATCCTATATCGGAGAGTATTATTATGAATGGAGGAGGACGCAGGCGTACATGCTGAAGAATTAAAGAAGAATCCATCCCAAATAATGACTTCCGGTAACTGAAAATGCGTCGTAACCGGGACTGAAGGTGCGCAGGAACGTGGGCTTAATTCACAGAGAAGAAGATGGAACGAACACGCAGAGTGGTAAAGGTCCTTTTTACCCTTGCTACGGTTTAGATGGGAAGTGGCTGATAAGGTGAATCCAATGGTTGATATTTATTCTTATTTCTTTCATTAGATCTTTTTCTTATTTGATCCAAACTCTATATATATATATATATATATATATACACACACACACACACACACACATATACTACTATAATAATGTTACAAAACTACTGGACAATCAAGTCTTCCAACAGCGATGTTGGATGTTAGACATCGCTGTTGAGCCAAGGTTGGGTTTCCAAAAACATCTAGTACAGCGATGTAGACTACTCTACATCGTTGTCCAACCTAAGCCAAAAAGAAATGCTTTAGCAGAAACTTTTTGGACAGCGCTGTTGACCCAGCAACAGCAATGTCAGGCCAATTCCTCAACCTTCAAAGTCAGGCATGAACAACGATGTTCAAGTAATGAAAATTGATGTAGGCACCTGACCGTTGGAAGAAATTTATATTTAGTCAACCAATATAAATAGTTTTGTAACTTTAATTATTGGATGGAAGGAATGCCTTCGAAAATTTAAAAGAATCGGAAAAAAGATGCAAAACCATTCAACCAAAGGATGTGAAATTGAGTATGTGAAATGCAAAGGCTTAAGAAAGAATGCAGATTTTTAAAATAAAGGGCAATAATTATCAAGTCATACAAATCGAATGCACTAGACAGACGAAATATGCTTTTGCCGAACCCATTTTTCCTTCCAAAAAGGTCCTTTGTTTTAAATTGCCTATATTGCCCTTATAAAAAGCCAATTTCAATATTCCAATGATTTTGGTAAGTTTTATTTTTCTTACTTTTTCAAAACTAGAATAATTTTGAGTTATGCTTGGGGATTCCAATTTTGACCCACTTTTCACCCCACTCTTAAGACGTTCACAGACTAGAGTTGGATGTCTATAAGAAGGTGAAGGTAAACGTGGAGTTAAAAGTGAGGTCAAAAAGGCAGAACTCTACGCCCATCTTGCAATATGTGTCGTTCCGTGAAAGAGACGTCAAAAACAAAATATTATAATAAACGGGGTTTAGCATTTATATCTTTACCCGTTTTACTCAACAAAAAGGGGCAGGTAAAGCTAGCAAAAACAACAAAATGCCCATACCATTATCTATAAACCTCTGATTAATTTCCAGCATCAACATTACTTTTTATATTATTTTGCTTCTAGTTTCTCCAGTTCATCCAAAGCACCTCGGATTGCATGTAAAGTCATCTTCATTACCTGACAAAAGGCAAGTGTATAAATCAAACTGCAGATTCAAGTGTAGGTTTTTTTGTAGCTAGATCAAACAATCTGAGCAAACAAGAAATATAGTCACAAGGCAAAAATATACTACTTATGCTTAAAAATTAATCCATCCCTCCCTTTATAATGTTCTCACTTTCGTTTTCGGACTACCCTAAATAATGTTCTCATTTTGTTTTAATAAAACAAGTGTGTGGTTCGTATTATTTCTCTCCACCATTGCACCCCACAATGTCACCTTTCTTAAATTCCATACAGAAAGCACTTGGAACCTTAAATAGGGACAAAGGGAGTTTTTCGTTTTCGTCTTCTACCAAAACCCATATTTCAGAACTATGACCAATTAGATGAGGAATGCAAAAAGAATATTGGTTATACAAGAGGCATATTGGTTATATACAAGAGGCATATGCAGAACACAGACTATGGATTTTCATCCCTTCTTCATCTGTTTCAAAATAATTTTCTCACTATTTTCTCTTTCCCTTTTTAAAAATGAACATGTGGTCCAAAATACTTTTCTCTTTTCTAAACCAATTCTAACCACTCATTTTTCAACATTCAGCATCCTTTCAATATCTTTTCAACACTTTTCTTGGGAGGGAGGGAGTATTTCACAAGATAAATAAATAAAATGCACAAGCTTGCAGGCAATCTAACAGTGCACTTCATCCCATGTCATAACGTGCCTTGAAGCTTTAGAAGACAGCACATATTCACATGCTAAGTTTGATTTCTTCTATTTCGGCTTATTCTCTTCTACTAAAATGTACGTAGTAGTAAAAAATTGTATACTAAATGCTAGGGTAAGACAATTGATAATTAGCATCTTTAGGGTACTTTGGGGGGGAGGGGGGGCATATTTTTAATGGTAAAAATTTTGTTTTGATGGCATCTGATGAGTAGAACTCACCTCTAATTTGTCTTCCTTAGCTCTGTGATTTTGGGGAAGGACGCGAAACTCCTCGGTCATTCGAATACATTCACCCACATTTTCGGGTGAAACAAAATCAAGAGCAACCTTTATACAAGACTGCAAAGTTGAGACAATTTTGGGAAAAATAAGGAGTGCAAAATGGAAGATGATTTGAACTACTAAAACTAAGCTTTAAAAAGTTACGGACTTATATAAGGAGAGCTATTGATTCTGAAAGTATAACGGAGCAAATGCTTATTTATCAGCATCACCAAAGGAGTAATCAAACCATACTTTAATATTTCTAACTTGATGAGGACACCCAGCAGGAATGAAAACTGCTTCTCCAAGTTTCTGGATGAACGTCCAAGGTTCAACACCTACAAAAGCAGGAGACCAAAATAAGATGTCCAGAAAGAGTTTTAATGCTGATTACACTGCTGTGGGTAACACACTAACCAAACTCCTCTTTGAGCTTCCTCTTATGGTATGTGTTCAAGTAGAAAACTTGATCATGGATTGGGTGAAAAATCTACAAGAGAAAATATCAAAAATATTTGGTTATAGTTCCAATTAGCCTGAATTTGCAAACTATAACTTCCAAAAACACACCCTGTCTCGTTGGGTTTGTTCAACTTGATAAGGCATGTAAACAATTGCAAAACTGTGTTGTTGAAGTTTGTTTGGAAGAAAGAAAACATATGAACCATCAATTTTTTTTTCTTAAATGGAAATTCAAAAAGTTTTTGGGACAGATCAAAAGGGAAAGTTGGAAATTTCAAGGATGGGAGTATGGAATAACATAAATAAAACAAAATTGAGCTTACAAGAACATAATCTGAAGATGTAAGAAAATATCATATCCGATATACAAATAAGAGTTTAAAATGAATACTTTTTCTTGCCAAGGAAAGAGACTGAAACAATGTATAGTTTGCATTAAGTTGGTAATCACCTGCTCCACTGGTTTTGAACGTAGATGCCTAAATTCCTTATGGTGCCTTCTAAGATATTTCTCAAGCTTGTTAACATCTTGTCGCCTGAAAATGTCCCAGACTGCACCTCCATCTGTTGCATCAACCTGNTTACAAGAACATAATCTGAAGATGTAAGAAAATATCATATCCGATATACAAATAAGAGTTTAAAATGAATACTTTTTCTTGCCAAGGAAAGAGACTGAAACAATGTATAGTTTGCATTAAGTTGGTAATCACCTGCTCCACTGGTTTTGAACGTAGATGCCTAAATTCCTTATGGTGCCTTCTAAGATATTTCTCAAGCTTGTTAACATCTTGTCGCCTGAAAATGTCCCAGACTGCACCTCCATCTGTTGCATCAACCTGATTTACATTCATGTAAAAAAGAACAATATCATTCAAAGGTGCCATCAATCAGTTTAATAACATCTGAAAAAACACAGCATCCTGCACATTCTGTTTCAGCTTCATTCACCATAGAATTGTTAACGTCATTTGTTGGCCCACTGTTGGATGATGCAGACTTGAATTTATATATAGGCACCAGATCTGGGCTCTCAGCCCCTTCATCTCTACCAACAGCAAACAAGTCTTTTAGGTCTTCAGCATCATGCTTTTTCTTCAACTTTTTAATTTTAGGAACCTGAGAATCATGTATGCACACTTCGGCAGTATGCATCAAAACATTTACCTGAATAATGATTACCCATTGTTAAAATATGAAAGTGTGGATTTTCTCTGCATGAACGTGCACATGCATGTTTTTATAATTGTTTGAGCAACCATTTTCTTTCATTGAGAACAGCAACTTCATGCCACTTTGCACTTTTTTGGAAGCCATTTTCATTCATTGTGAATAATACATTCTTATCAAGCCAAAAAAATAACTGTTTGATGATATTAGAGACATTATACAATAGAATGAAAATTATATACCGCATCAGACATGTCACAATGAAGCTTGGTCACAGAATCTCCTCGCCCAAGTTCTTCCACAAACCCATATGCTATATAAGTTTTAGGTCCCAAGTCTGGCTTCAATGCTTCTTTTGGTAGTTTTGTTGCAGTATTAAGAATACCAGCATAAGGATGTGTGTACTCCTTGTATGGCAAGGCTCTAATGAATTCTTCACAATGACGTGGCAACCGCTCTTCAAATAAAGTAGATGAGGGCCAGTCCTTTAGCTTCAGCACTTCAGGCCATCCATCGTTATGCATCCGACCTTCATTATACCCCATAAAAAAGGTATGATTATTAATTTGTACCTGCAAGTCCGGGAAGCCAAGTGACAATGTTAGAGAGTATATATTTCAAAATAAAATCTAACAATGTATGTTTAATACCAAAAGCATAACAGGCTTTCTTTATAGAATGTTAATTAAGGTGAACAAAAGCAAGGTTGACTATAAATGGCCCAGCAAGGCAGATATACTATACATAGCTTACTATAGTGGAATCTCTTATTCTCTCAATCAGTTATCGCCAACATTCATAACAGTTTCTAACAGAACAACATGAAGCAATTAAAGAAACTGCAGAAGCTAAGAATAATATATATTAGAGATCATAACACATACCTCACACCAATCAAGGCAATCGATTGCTATCACTGCCAAATCTGATGCACCTTCCTTGATACTTATATTGCGAAAAGCACGCCACATTACCATAGGTTCCCAACTTAGACCAGATGTGAGTTCAAGAGCATTTCTAACTATCACAGGCTCTCCCATGATCCAATGTCTCTGAAAGTGCTCAAGGTCACCATTCTGAACGTCATTTGCTGATGGGCAATACAAACAGTTGTCATTAGAATCTTCTCTGGAGGCAGCTTTCCTAACATTTTTTGCACCATTAGCAGTTTCATCTCTGAAACAAGGACACTGCTCCTTAGGAATTTGATGCTCATTGGAACAGCCATTAATTTCAAGTAAGCTTTCTACTCTCTTCATTGTCTCAGAAACCCAACTTTCAGGTAAAAAATGCTTAAGCTCCAGTCTGTGATATCCACAGCCTC